TGTCTGAATGCGTGGTGGGAATCGGCTCCCGTTGGAACGGCTTCTTCCTGGAACTCAAAGCAGAAAACGCTCCTTTCCTTACTCTGTGATAGGCAAACCACGCTTGCACAGTCAGCAGTTGAAGAGCTCTTGGGTGTCTTCACCGCTGAATTCGGATCAAGTAAATAACAAGGGAATTTCTAGACAAAAGGAGATCCATGGCTCAAAAGCTTGTGGCTCACACCTGTAATCCTAGGCACTCAGGAGGCTGAGAGCTGAGGATCAACGTTGGAAGATAGCCAGGCAAACCACTCTGAGAAACTCTCATCTACAATTAACCAGTAAAAAGCTAGATGTGGAGGTGTGGTTCAAGTAGTAGAGTGCCAGACTTGTATGAAAAGCTAAGTAAGAGCCTGAGTTCCTGGGCTGGGAAAGTGGCTCAGTGGTAGAGCGCTTGCCTTGCATGCCTGAGGCTCTGGGTTCAATTCCTCGGCACCACATAAGCAAAAAGAAAAAAAGCCGGAAGTGGCACTGTGGCTCAAGTGGTAGAGCGCTAGCCTTGAGCTGAAGAGCTGAGGGACAGCACCCAGGCCCAGAGTTCAGGCCCCACGACGGACCCAAAAAAACAAAAAAAAAAGAGCCTGAGTTCCTGAGTTCAAATGCCCATAGCAGCACAAAAAAAAAAAAGAAAGAAAGAAAGAGGAAATAACAGATTGAATAACTAAGTGTGGACAAGAGGACCAAACACAACAAGAATAACTCTAATCTCAAGCTTTCTAGAGGTGATAAATAACAATGAAAGTAAAGTAGAAATAATCTTGTAATTCTATTATCTACTTAGGAAGTACAGTTAAACTGTTTAAGAGATATATTAATAGACACTAAAGACATATAAATGAATTACATATATATATGTATATATATGAACCCAATTATGACAGACCTAATTAAATTACAGCAGATCCCTATAGATTTTTTTCTTGATACAACTCTACATAATATTAAAGAGATTATTTAAACTATCATGTTAATACTAATATGTATAGTAATATAAAAACATTCTGAATACATGACTCAACTATATTAAAAACTTTTTATAAATGCTAAGATGATATAAAATATCCAAACACTTTTTTAAGCTATAAAACTATAATAGATTAATGCTCTTGAGTTCTCTTAACCTCTTCTGTAACTTCCCACACTTGCGATGTCTTAGTTTGGTTCTGCCTCTCCAGCTTGTTACCCAGCATCATTTTTCTCTGAGCTGGTTGCCTTCTTCCAATAACGACTGAAGAGAAGAAATGCTGCTGTACAGGGCAGCCACTATCTCAGGATGCTTGAACATCATCCTCCTTCTCTGGCACACTTACTTTGTGAGTTTCTCTTTCTAGAGCAATGCACACCCAGGATCTGCTTCTCTACACCAGGAATCGGAAACACGGCCTGCCAGCCACCATTTCCTTCTCTGCAAACAGAACCTAAACTGCCTCTTTCCTTGTTTCCTCTTAAAAAGAAAAAAGTCACAGTAAAAACAATTCCATCAGATCGATTTTCTCCATTTCCCCCCTTTGACATGAACATACAAAGGCAAAATGATTGCCTATTTCTGAGTACTGTTTTAGCTCATCTCAAAAAGGAAGCTGGAAGTGATGTGCAAATGAACAGAATTGTAGGCCTGCCACAGACGGCAGAATGCTTGTTCTCTAAAGTCCGTGAGACCATTTTTATTTATGGTATACACATACCTGTCTAGAAGAGACCCAATTTTCATCATTTATCTGCTTTTCCTCGACAAACGGATCTACAACCTCAGTTATGACCCAAGACCTGTGCTTCTCCAAAGACCATTATTGTGGAAGTGTGGCTATTTTCAAGGCTAGTGGTCACTGAAGACTTGAACCCACTAAGTGTCGGTCTTTATTCCACAACTAACAGTGCGTGCCAGCAAATAGCTGCTGAATAATGGATGAAGCCATTTCAGTGATGTTTACCGCGGCAGGCATGCGCTTCCTCCCCATGGGCATCGCCAGGCCTCTCCGTGGGCACCTGTACCGAGTATTTCTTTTTTTTTTTTCTATTTAAAAAGAGAATTTCACTGCTTGTGCAATTTTTCACAATTACCACAAATGAGCAAGCCATACAGTTCAAACATCTGACAAGTTCAGCCTCCGTCTCGAGAGATAATTCATTAATGAAAGAGTAAATTTAGTCAATTGAACAAGAAAGAATGATTCTCTGTCCAATTTACAAAACCGATCAATGCTTACCACCCCCAGGGCAGGAATGCATTCTGCGTTTTCTGTCTGTACAAATGTTCTATTTCTGCTTCTCAAGACAATTTCACTAATTAAGGCTTTAGAACTCTCCATCCCTTAGTTTTCCATTCTATTAAAAATGAAGAAGTTCCATTTTAAAGGACACTAACTAGTGTTAGAACAAATGATTGCGGGATTATTGTAGGCATAGTAAAGAATTTTACCTTACAGGAGATTATTAAAATAGATTATTCTAAAATAAATATAACTTAAAAACAGTTTAACCAAAGCAAATGGTAGTAGTAATCCAAAATGAACAGTAATAGTCACACAATGAAGTGTGAGCCAGGAAAGCATCACTGTGATGACAGAAGCAGCTCAGATGCTATCACAACCCCCCCCCATACACACACACACAATTGTTTTACCAGATGAACAAACTTTAAAAAAAATTCTTTCATGTAGTGTATTTAGAATGGAAGACATAAACTAAAGATCATGGTAATAAAGCAATTATGAAGAGGGGAGACAAAAACACACCATTCTGCAAGCACAGTTGAGACTCTGTTAGAACAGCCTCACTGCTGAATGACATGCCATGTTCCTTTCATCCCCCAGAATTATGTATCCACCACAGTGAGTCCTGAACTCCTGAACTCTGAAAGTGAGTCAGCAAAAGAGGGTACAACAGAACACAATTTTTTTGTCAAAAATATTTATTATTGTCATTATTACTTCAAAAGCAAGCAAATTATCCAAGTCCAGAAAATACTTGAAATGAAAAAGGAGAACTGAGTAAGGTCCCTTCTCCCCCCAAAAACACATTATTTGAACAGCGAAATGCTGATTACTTTCTCAGCCTATAAGCTCACACACCGTCATATCATGAGAAATTTTAAATGAGGAACCCAATGTTTACCAGATCTCAAGTCTATGTTTCTTTAGAAATCCCTCCTGCCAAAAAATGAAAACAAAATATAAAAACAACAACAACAAAGCCCTGCCTCTAAAACCTGGGCCTCAGACTTCTGTGAAGTTATTAGGCGGGACACAGGCCCACTCTGGCCCTTTCCCAAGATGAGAAACAGCATAGCTACCAACGCTCCCCACACTCACCAGCTCAACCCCAGAGCTTGCCCTCACTCGCAGCTTCCCAAGCAACGCACATCCACACATCCGGGTTCTCTGACGTTCAGAAGCCTTGCTCAGCGGTGGGAAGAAGTGAAATCCTTGCCCAGCAATGGGAAGACGTGAAATCCTTGCCTCTTCATTTCAAAGCAAAGGCAAACATTTTTACACACTCCCCTTTGTCAAAGATATGCATCTCATTGCCAGTGTGAAGCAGATGATTGGCAGTCACTGAGATCACACCACAACCAAGTTCTCATGAATGCCAACTTCTAAGTAAGCATTAACAGGCAGTCCAGTTGTCCACAAATAGTGTGGAAATAATCTGGAACTCCACCAGCAACCTGTCCGCCGCCCTCCACCACAGCGCACAGCTTGCCAGCGTTGGTGTGCAGTGTGCACCCCTTTACTGGAGACCCTGCTGGGAAGTGCTCTAGCTGTGTGTGCGCGCGCATCGGCCTTCTCCCTCGGCTCCAGCAGCCAGGCGCTCTGTGCACCGCCCTCCCAGGCTGTCTGGACTCGTTCATTGACTTCCAAATGCATCACCCGTAAGCCGGTTGGGGTGGGACGTTTGATGCCACACTCCAAAGCCACTGGGTAAAGGAGGTGGAGGAGGGCTGGCAGGACCGGCCAGCATCCACTGACCTCAGCCTGCGGTCATTGGAGAAAATCTGGACTCCCTCTGGTCCCTTGCATGGCACCCACACCTGACCAGGACAACAGCGGAGATTCACCTACACTCAGTGCCTATTCAGTTAAATGCATTCAGTCTAAAAGACCAGAAGTCTACTGATATGTACCATTTTATCCTAGACAAAATTTACACCAGAAAGCTTTTCCCAATTAAGTAAACACTGAGAAACGGCTGTGATCCTTTCACTAAAGAGTTGACCTCCAAATTAAATACCCAGTTCTCCTCCTCAACCGTGTCTGGGTGTGTTGTAGCTGTGGAGAGCAGGTCCCCAGGTTTAAGCAGCTCTGTGCAGGCAGGCCACACCCCCAAGACCACCGGCTGCACCCACCTTCTCTCCCTCCTCAGGTCTCCCACAGTGAGAAACGCTGGGCACCTCCCAGACATGCCCCCAGAGGAGGTACTACAGAAACAGGCCAGGAAGAGTTGAGGCCCAGCCACAGAAAGCCAGGATCTGAAATGCATCTGGCTCCAGGATGTGATGTGACCCCATGAGATCCACGCGAGCAACACGAACCTCGGCCCTCAGAGATGGAAGCACTGTTATCACAAAGCAAAACAGCCCTCTGAAGTGACAGGAAACCAGGAAGGCTGTCAGGGACCAGAAGGGAAAACTGTGAAGACAGCAGGGGTCAGGTTTGAAGGGTCAGCCAGGCGAGGCCTCATGGGCATCTCTTCTCTTGGGACTCAGGACTTCGCCCTCCAGCCTTCAGACAGATGCTCCTCCTCAGCCTGCCCACGTTTTTGTTTTCCCCTTGAAACAAATGTCCTCATCTTTTCACGCCTCAGTATTAAGGCCTACGCAGATAAAGTGACATATTTTGAAAACATGTTTCTTAAAAAATAAAAAGTTCCCCAAATTCTAACCACCTTTAGAAAGTAAGAGGAGAGAGAGAAGGGGGGATATTACTATTTCCTTGGTCCAGGTACACATAAAATGACTTAAGTTGAGAAACCAGAAGTGTTTATTATACAGTACTCCGCGAGTGCACGTTACAATCTTCCTGTCATCCTACAGTCATGAGGAGTTGTGTGGCAAGCCATTTGGCCTACCCCTGGATCTGCTTCATTCTGTTCTCCACGTTGGAGTATTTCTTGCCAGAGCACACACGTTTCTTAAGCTACTTATGTACTTGTAGCATTTTTGGCAAATGGTTTCCAAGCAATAAGAGAATCAACAAATACATTTAAAAAATTCCTTCTGATACTGCTGGACACATCTGTGGGGTTTTCCGTACTTCAAATCCACTTAAGTAAACTGTAAGCACAGAATTTGCAAAGGCTTGTTCTGAGCAGTTTGAGCCTGCATTTGGAATACTGTCCCCCAAAGGTGCTCAAACTTCACTTATATGAGGTCAGAGCAGCCCAGGGCAGGGCAGGCGGAAAGCGTTCCTTTGCACCCGGGAGTAGGAGGTGGCACTCTCCGGGGGGAAGCTAAGGCAAGGAACGCTGATCCAGCTTTAAGGAATCTGTGGGAACTGCGACCTGCAAGTGCCCTTGGGCTCCTCATGGAGGTAAAACCCTTTGTGAAAAGACTCCAGATGTCCACCTTGCATCCTAAACCTTGGGTTTACACCCAGGTCTCCCAGAGACGCACTTTCTGTGTATTCTGCAGAAGGGTTTTGTACCTCCAACCTCCTTAAGAAAAAAGAAAAGAGCTCACACTGCCTCCTACTGTCAGAAAGGAGGACGTACACTGTCAGCTAGTCACAAACTGCCAGTGTAAGAGGAGCAAGAAAACTGTCTTAGCTTGTTTTTCTTTCTGGCCTAAGATGTTTCCAGGCAGAAAGGGTGGAGATACAACCTGCAGCACATACACACACACACACACACACACACACACAAACTGCACAACTGGTACAGCTTTGCGGTTGGAAACCACCAGCCCCAAGCATGTTTTTCTCCTGGCACACAAGGAGGTGACACAAGCAAAGGGGAGCAGGCAGAGGAACTGTGCAGCCAGCCTCCCTTGCCAGCTGTGTGTGGGGTTGGGGAACTCACCTTCCCTCCCATACCTGGGGTGGCCGCAGGTGGAAGTAGAATCCCAGCACCCAGGAAGGAGCCACTTCCACTTTGGTCAGGCGGCACGGCCACACCATGCCTTTCCAGAGGACTTGCTCATCTTTGAGGAGGAGGAGGTCATGTCACCGCAGCACTGCGGCGTCCGCCTTCACCTTTTGGCAAACAACTCTTAAGAGGACTGGGCACCTGACCCTGCAAATCCACAACCAAGATGCTCGACCACCACAGATACTGAAAACCAGACTGCGGAACACAGAAACACAAACGAGAGTCTGGGGTTTGTTTCTTTAAAAACTGGCATTTTGTATTAAAAGTCTTGAACTGAGAGGCCATGAGTGAATGGGATAATGAAAACAACAAGCGTTTGTCGGGGTTCTCTAATGCCCTGCAGCGGCTCTCTGCGGGGCACCCTGTCACCAATGCATCTGTGAAGTCACAGAAGCAGAGGCTAAGTACCTGACATGGAAACCTACTAAGGCAAAGCGAACACTTGCCAGCCGCGGATACCACAACCGAAAGGCTGGGCTGGAAGGGCATTTTGTTGGTGGGAGAGCCTGAGCTGGGCAGGCCAAGTGGCAGGGCAGGCCAAATGGCTGGGCAGTCTGGATGGGCTGGGCTGGCCGGGCAGCCTGGGGGCTGGGCACGGCTGACCGGTGGTGCAGGCCGGGTAGGCTGGGCAGCCCTGGGTAGGCTGGGCAGGCCGGGTGGCTAGGCACGGCTGACCGGCCTGGCAGTGAAGGCACTCTGCAGACAGGGTGCTTGCTGAGGGCCCTGAGTCACACTGATGAGTCCTCGCGGGGCGTCTGTAAACGCTGGTCAGTACATCCAGTAACACAAAAAGATGAGAAGGAAAGCAAAGTGTCACACGCACACGCACACACACACACACACAATATAGTACAAAAATGCGCAGACTCGTGACATTTTCACAGCTGATAAAAAAAAATACTAGCATTCTCCCGACTCCCCTTTGATACAGCAGGTAAACAAAATAGATTCTTCTTCCGCAGACATCTCCCAGCCAGTGCGCTCGGGCGCTCCTCCGCCGGGTGCGCGGTCACCGGCCCCGCTTTGCATAGACATCCGGCGGTCACCCGCGGTCACCGCGGCGCCTCTACGCGGGCAGGCGGCGGCCCCGCCCGATGTCCCGGTGGAGATCGTGGGGTAGACAGCGGCTTCCCGCGGATGAGGTGTAGACAGAGAGCGGGTGCGGGGGGCGAGGAGGTGCGGACGGCGGGAAGGCCAGGCGGGCGGCGCCGCTCCACCGCCCCGCCCGGGTCTTTCCAAGCCCGCAACTTCGGCCTGCGGGGCATGGGGAGGGAGAGACGTCTGCGCGCGCGCGCGCCCGGGGCCGAGGGCCAGGACCCCGGGGTGGGACCGGCCGGAGTCTGGGGTGGGGCTGGCCGGGCAGGCACGATCCATAGTCGCTTCTGTGAGCCGGGGTCCGCGCACCGCGTGCGCCCCCGCGCGCCCCAGGCCCCCGCGCGTCCCCGGTCCCCCGCGCGCCCCCGGCCCCCGCGCGCCCCAGCCCGGCTCAGAGGATGGCGCAGGCCGAGCAGCAGCCCTCGTCGCCGTCGGGCTGCGCCGCGTAGTTCATCTGCCGCACGATCTCGGCGAACAGCTCGTCCACCGAGGCCTTGTTCTTGGCCGACGTCTCCATGAAGGGGCAGCTCCACTCCTCGGCCAGCGCGCGGCCCTCGCCCGCCGCCACCTCGCGCTCGCCCTCCAGGTCCGCCTTGTTGCCCACCAGCACCATGGGCGCGCGCTCGCAGCGCTTCACGCGCGCGATCTGGTCGCGCATGGGCCGGATGTCCTGGAAGCTCTGCTGGTTGACCAGGCTGTAGACCAGGATGAAGCCCTGGCCGTTCTTGATGTACAGGTCGCGCATGGACGCGAACTGCTCGGTGCCAGCCGTGTCCAGGATCTCCAGCACGGACGGCGACGAGTCCACCTCGATCTCTTTGCGGTAGAAGTCCTCGATGGTGGGGTCGTACTTCTCGATGAAGGAGCCGGTCACGAACTGCACGGTCAGCGCCGACTTGCCCACGCCGCCCGAGCCCAGCACCACCACCTTGTACTCGCGCATGGCGCCCCCCGGCCCGGGGCCGCCGAGGCCGGGCGGCCCGGGGGCGCGCGGCCGGCCAGGAGGACAAAGCCCGCGGAGGCGGCCCGGGCGCGGCGCCGGCGGGGGCTCCGGGCCGCCGCGGCCGGGGGCCCGGGGTGGCGGGGGCGGCGGGCTGCGCGGGCGGCTGCTGCGTGCGCGCCGGGCCGGGGCACGCGTGGCATGAGTCCCCGCGGCCGTGCGCGCGCCGCCGCGGGCCCCCGCGCTCTCCCGCAGCCTCCGCCGGGCGACGGCTTCCGACTGCCCTCCGCGAGCATGCGCGTTGCGCCAGCGCCGCCCGTCCGCGCCGCCGCCCCGGGTCTTCCGCCGGTCCCGGGGGCGGGGCGAAGGGCGGGGCCTTGGCAGGTGGGCGGGGGGGCTGGGCAGAGGATCGGCGAAAGGGGAGGGGCCGCGGGGAGGGACTGGGGAGAGGGGCGGGGTCTGGACAGGTGGGCGGGGCCTTGGCGAAGGGACGGCGGAGTGGGCGGGAGAGATGGGCGGGCCCGAAGAGAGGGGTGGGGAGAGGGCGGGCGGGGCCTCTGCGAGTTCGCCTCTGGCGCGGGCACCGGACGTGAGCCGTGGAGGAGCCGGGGCGACCGGGGCTCCGAGTCGGTTTGGCTGAAAAGCGCCGTAGGCGCGGGCCGGGAGGGCGGAGGGGAGCGGGGCGGAGGCTGCGCCCTGCGGCGGTCCCCCTCCGCGCCGGGCGTGTGCAGGCGGACAGCGGAAGGCAAGGGGGTTCCGGAGGATCTCGGGCCGCGCCTAGGCCTCGCTGGCCCCGGGAGGGGAGCGGGAGCGGCCGTGGGCTCCACCCACCCAGGCAGCTGGGGGGTCCGAGCTCCCGCCGGCCGTGGGGGCGGGGAAGAGCCAGGCCAGGGTCCAGGGCCCGGCCTGCGGGGCCCCGCGGGGTGCTCCCCACTTCCTAGCCCTGCCACGCGCTCCACCCCGCAGCGTGGGTAGGGTGCTGACTCTGGGACCTATGCTCTGCTGTGCTCGCCAGGACCCCGTGCCCGTCCGGACCCCGTGCCCGCCCGACCCGGTGCCCGCCGGCCGCGCCCCCTCCCGGGCTCCTCCCGCAGACCCAACCACTCTGGCGCTAGCCAGGGCTGATGTACCCAGGGCACCTGCTCCACGCGCCCCTCCCTGGCCTGTCGGCAGCTTGGTCCACCCTCGGTCTCTCCTGGGCCCTGTTAGTGCAGAGAGAGGACCTGGAGGGCCCCCTCTGTCCCCTGACCCGTCCCAGAAGTCCTCACCCCCCCCTCCACCTGTCCCAGAAGTCCTCACCCCTCCCCACACCCATCCAGCGTCCAGGGGGCAGAAAGGGGGCAGGGTCTGAGTGTGTTCTGGTGTGAGGTAAATTTCAGAGCAAAGCTAGTGATCCAAGCCAGTCTGCAGGTGAGTACTCCTGCTAAGCGTGTGCACGCACACGTTTGCACATAGGCCTGGTGCAAAGAGGTGCTTTGTGCTCAGCTGTCCTGGAGTCTGGCCTCTGTTCGCCTCAGTCCTCACACCGGTGGTGCTTGGGCCTCCCTTCAGCTTCTACCTGGGTTTTCTCCATCTTTGAACAGGGGTCTTACTCAGCCCTGCCCATCAGACTGTAAGGGGCCTTGGAGAGAGACTGGCCACCATTGCCCTCACTTCCTGGCAGAGAAGAGAGAACACTATACCGCCCCCCCCCCCCAGTCCATGCCAGACACTCCATGGATGATGAGTAGTGGGTTGTGAAGGGGAAGATGCTGGCCAAGCTGTAGTCCTGGGACAGGCAGAACCCACAGCCTGACTGCCGCATCCCTAGACATCCCTAGGACCCCACCTTCACCTCCCCCCCTCTTCCCCCCCCCCCCCCACCCTCGCCTCCACCTCCAGCCAGGCAGAGCACAGAGAGGCAGACTCCACTACAGGTGTCCATTATAGGTGGACAAAACAGTTGGATGATGGCTACATTGACCCTCGACTGCCTCTCAGAACCAGAAAGATGTCACGCTTTAGACGCTGTCTGCCAGGGCTTCTTCAAAAGCAATTCTCAAAACACTCCTTGTCTCCCACAGGTAGATTCACCTGGGAACCAAAGGGAAGCAGAGGGCTCGAAGTCCCTCGTAGGAAGTCAGTGATTCTGTACCTTTGCATACAACATGCATCATCATCTGCTCTGTGTTATAATTATTCACACACTAAACACCACGTGAACTGCTTGAAGAGGAAGTCTGGGTCTGGCTTATCTAGAGGGTATTTCTCTCAACATTTAGTACACAGGAGATCCTGAGTAAATATAGATTGGTCAATACATGGATGGCATTTTATTCCTTTCTGAACTAGGTATGTGGTCAGCAAACTGCATAGATGCAACATTTCCCCGTTTCAGAAAGATGTATAAAAACATTGAAGGCTTCGTGAGTCAGACACCGGAGTCATGACAACCCATATTTGGGTAGAAAAGCTAAATGCTAATGCTGCCTTTGAGAAAGATGCCCAGGGAACCAACAGAGGAAAGCTTCTCAGGAGAAGATGAGGCACTGGGGTTACTGGAAGAGACAATAGTAAGTAAAGGCTGTCGGGAGGACAGCCTGACCTCCAACTCAGAAGGCTATAGAGACAGCAGGCCCAACCTGACCTGGCTTTCCAGGGAGTTGCTAGGGCTGGCTTCAAGGCCTGTGAGACATGAACCTCCCAAGCCATCACCTGTGCCTCTCAGCCTGTAGGTCTGGGTTTCATCACCATCACAGTGTCAACTAGAGGTCAACAATTTAAACAAAGCCTAGGAATTTTGAAGATGCCAGGCAAGGGTAAACTGTTAGGAGTGGGTATCGGTATTTTAAAGTGGAAGATCTTAGGGGAAGTGTTACTCACTTATTATAATCTAGGTGCTTGAAAGGCTGAGCTGGAGAATTACCACTTCAAGGCCAGCCTGGGAGACTCAACCAAGTGCTTTTAGACTGCCATTTAGAGATCATATATGCATATATGCATATATATGATATATATGATACATATATATCTGTTATGTAACTAAACATGTTATAATATAGCCATCTACTGCTTTGGGTTGTGCTGTCAGCAGTCCTTTGTACATCCTTTCCAGGACTTCCTCTGGGAGTATTTTATATCATCCCGCAGTTCCACTCAGACTATGCTTCAAGGACTCAGCGCACTGACTGGCCATCTCACAAGCACAAAGGCTTCCACAAGCGATGAGATGTCCTATCTCCCCCAGTTACACACACCATTAAAATCCTAGCCTGATAACTAAAGAGAGGCAAAGATTTGTCTAGACTTCATGTTTCAGTGTCGACCTGAGTCACCTGCACATTGGTCTCCTTTTCTTAATTACTCTTCAAAGGGAGGGGTATAAGGAAGCCTTGAATTTTCAAATAAATAACTTCTTAAAATCATTCAAGACGTCTATAAACTTGATAAGCCAAATAATATATTTATAATATGTATATATACATATATTTAATTAAAACAGCTTTTGTGTGAGGCTTTGCATGAGTTAGCTTAGTACTGAGTGGTGATATGCATAGACCCTCGCTGATTTGGTAAGGAGATCACTCTCTCAGCAAGAAGCTGCCTGTGGCCATCAAGGCCTGCCCCACACAAGCCCACAGGTATGAGTCCTATCCTAGAAGCTCACAAACGGTCAAGCGTATTTTAATATTTTTACCTAGGAGTTAAAGGGAGTAAAAGAGATAAACTCCATCCTCTCGGAGACAAGATCTGCTGGGACCTTTGTCTTAGACGAGGTCACGCCAGCCTGGAGAGAAAGCCAGGTCTCTTACGGCTTAACTTTTATATGAGGAATGAGCTCTCGCTCGAGGGAGACCAAACTTCATCCATCCTGGCTTCGTCGCTGAAAGCTCTGCTTCAAATCTCAGTCTGTTTAAGATTTGTCTCCTCAGAACCTTCTGTTCCACAGCTAAAGGTAGAAGGAAAAGGAGAAACTGTGTGGTGTTAAGATAGAGAATTTCTTTTGACTTTTGTGAACAGAGGCTCAGCCCTCTGCCCCACGCTTATCCCGTGGCCCAGGCCCCCTCTGGTCCTGAAGGCTGTACCTGGATGGAGACAGCCAGAGGAGCTGCCTGTGTGTCCTGGCCTGGCTGTACCAGGCTGCAGCTGTGTATTCTAGCACTCAGGGAAGCACAGAGGGCATGCATGCACACTGGAAGGTCCCACGCAGCCCTGCAGAATTCCTACCGCGTTCTGTGATTGTTCTGTTCAGTTCTACAGTAGACCCCGGGACTCTAGGAATCTTTGAAGGTTTATTTGGTCTATTTAAAAGCTTATGTCTGGGGCTGAGAAGTTGGCTCAGTGGTAGAGTGATTGCCTTGCATGCCAGAGGCCCTGGGTTCGATTCCTCAGCACCACATAAGCAAAAAGAAAAAAAGCCGGAAGTGGTGCTGTGGCTCAAGTGGTAGAGCGCTAGTCTTGAGCTGAAGAGCTGAGGGACAGCGCCCAGGCCCGGAGTTCAGGCCCCACGACTGGACCCAGAAAAATAAATAAATAAATAAAAGCTTATGTCTGTTACTCAGCTGTTGTCACATGGACATATAGCCACAAAAACAAAACTAAATATTTTCTGTTAAGGAGTTTATATCCTTAAAAAAATTATGCTACCATCTTAATGTTTGTTTCATACCAGGGAAATATCCTAGGTGAATTACTCCCACTGTCCCGGGCAGTGAGTCCTATCTGGACTGTAAAGGGCTGGCGCCTCGCTCCGGCCTCTTGCTAGGAGGAAGGCAAACCAGCAACCGCATGCAGAGAAGCCACTGTGGCTGCACCCTAGTGCTATAGCTGCCGCACTGCACGAGGTGTGAAATCCCAGGCCTGGTGCTGGTTCCACCCTATCACCAGGGGGTGGGGGGTGGGGACATCTTTACTTTTGCCTAGGTTTGTTTTCATCAAAATTAACTACTAACCAATGCAGCTACAACCCTTGGCTATAATCAGTAGGAAAATGCAAACAAGTAGTAAATAGATTCCAACCAACAGACAGGACTGGTTCTATA